TTTATATTACATTATGTAGCACTTGATTTTTTTATTTTTTTTTTACAGTGCTTTGAAAATAGCAACTAATTAACCCTGAGCACTCTAAAGTGCCTCCATTTTACAGAGGGGAAACAAAGGCACAGAGAGTAGAACACCACAGCAAGCACATGCAAATTTGCTCACTAAGAACAGCAGCGAAACCACAGCAGCATGAGCTAGTGCCCTGAATACAAACCTTGGATCCCAAGTGGGACTGTACCTGGGAGAGCTAGCTGAGATAGTTATACGTACTGCCATCATGCCTCCTGAATGCCACACAGATAAATTAACTGACTTTCCTGAAGTCAGACTGAACTAGTGGCAGTCAATATTAACTCCAGAGTTCTTATTTCCTAGCTAGCTCTGGTAAACCACAGTCGCCCCTCTCCCACAAACAAAGCAGCAACGTCTACACTAAGCAAATAGCTCACGTGACAAAAGCCAGCAGTGGCTTCCCCCACCCTTGCAAACTGGCACTGAAAACGATTTCACTGCTAGCCAACATCGGGACAACCAGAGCGAGTACCAGGCTATTTCCTAGTACAGACCCCTCTTATAAGGCTAGCCGTACCCCTGCTCAGTGAGGTAGGAGGTCTGCAAGATTAAAACTCATAGAAGCCATCAGCAGTTTGAACTCTTTCTGCTCTCTTTACATTGTCAGGTCCAAAACCAAAATACAGCTAGTGTAATAAAATGAACAAATAAGGGCAACCGTTTCTTCCCTACGTTATTTAAAGCCATTTCCTTCCCTGCCATCCATATCACACACACAAGGAAAGAAAAATTAGGCAAGGATGATTATTTAACATGCAAACTATCTTAGCTGCAGAACAATCATACAACTGTTCAGTAAGACCTTGTAAGAATAAACTTGATGGCTTTGTTAATAAAGATACTGTAACCTATTTCTAAAAGAACATGGAAGACCTTTCACAATTGGAAAAAAAAAAATCAAGCCCAATGACTGAAACTTACCCAATTTTAACAAAATGAATGTGGTGCATCTTGAAAACAGACCCAGTCTTCAGATATTGTAAAGGATGAAGCAACTCATGTCCTAGCCTAAAAACCTGTTGCAAACATTTTGTACTGCACCACATCAGATTGTGCTCTCTAGATTTCTAGCACAGCTACATTTGACCGTCACACAATGGGCAACTTTATGGCACTGGAGTAAGTTTCCTCAAAGCTTGTTTTGCCTCATGAACAAGAAAATTAAAACCTTCACAGAGGCAACATTAAAGTTGCAGATTTAAACATTTAAGCCACAAAAAGAACTGTGGGCTAACAAAAGTTACACCTGCAGTCTGAGCCTCTAGCTAGGTGGTTAAACAGTGCTGTGCAACCGAGCAAATTTTTACTTCCTGCTCCACACTTGCAAAGTTTTTAAAACGTCAAAAGTGGAAACGTGCCCCTCGACGTACGTGTCTGCCGAAATGGGCCCTGGAGTGCAGGAGGAAGGCTTGGGAAAGCCCCTCTGCCGGCCTATGGTTCTGTCAAGGGGTCAGCCCGCAAGGTTATAACAATCAGGAAGAGAAAGACTGATGGACAGGCCCTGAAGTCAGGGACATCCCAGGTTCAGTGCCTCACCCCCGCTTACTTTTGATTAAAAGATGTCAAAAGCTAGGACATTCAAAAACTAAGCATGAGTCCCTGTCACCCCCTTGCCGATCACTGACTTGGTCGCATTGAGCACGTTATCTGTAACACTGACAAGTTTGCAAATCTTCTGGATTGGAACCCTGACTTTCAGGTCCTGATTTCAATGGTGTTAAATGCTAGGCTTTAATAGTGCATTGAATTAAGAGCACTCCGAGCAGCACAGCTGTCTGCCTGGTAAAACTCCATAAGGCAGAAATCTCAGCCTGCCTAGAGAAGCCTCAAGTAGGCATATAAAAAAAATCCATGGCAGTTTTTCTTAGTTATGAATGAGGCACATAGAAGTTAGCCCTGTAGCTTTATCATAGGCAACAACCATCTGGCCCTTTCCAGATTATAGATATTTATAGTAGAATATACTGTTATAAATAAGAGTTTAAAATGGTAAACTTAGCACTACACTGAATAAGACATCTCTGTTACAAAATGCAGGAGCAGCGCAGCATACTATCTAGCCTCAAACAGCTGCGGAATAGAAATGCAGGGGATACAATGCGTGTCTATGTCTGTGTCCACAGACAATTCTACCTTCCTCTCCAAAGCAGTTCTGTGGGTCTCAGAACAAAACGACCCACGCAGTTTTACTCTGAGAAGTACATACATAATATAGGAATCTACCCTGTCTTCAGTGTAACACAAAACTGCCTAATTATGAATAGTTATAGCTACACTAACTTGAGTACAATCAGAGTGAAAAGTTGTGATCAAGGGAAATGAGATGGGGAGACTCAGACTGCAGTTAGAATAATCTCTGATGGCAAAAGGCGTGTAGTGAGATACCCAATAATTCATTAAAATTGATGATAGGGGAATGAGTTATAGAACAGGATTGGCAAGTGTCTAAAATTCGGTCTCTAAAGATACTTCAAAGCAGATAAAGGAACACCAACTAGGGGAGAAGAAAACAGATTAAAATCCAGAACTGTAGATATTTTTATGAGTCTAGCCCAACCCAGAGTGAAGAAATTTCAAATTGAACTAATTTAGGGAGTTGACCCAAATTACACGACTGTTAATCACCACAATGATTTTGGTGGGTGTGGAGGAAGGATATCTAATTATGCCTAGACCACTCAACACTATTTCTAAATACATCCTCATCCCACCTCAAAAAACCCCATTTTACAGACAGGGAATGTACACAGAGAGTTTAAGTGTCTTACCGAAGTCTGTAGGGGAGTAGGGAATAAAACCCAGAATTTAAGTCCTGGTTCAGTGGCTTAGCCACAAACAATTGTGGTTACAGCCCGAACAGAGATTCTGGGTTCAATTTCCTTCTGTCAAACTTCTGGTGTGTCCTTGGATAAGTCACTTCACCTCTGTGCTTCAGTTTCCTATCTGTAAAACTGAGAAACCACCACCACCTTAGTCTTGACTAGAATAAAGTTGTTCAGGGCTGAGATTGCATCACACAGTGGTTAGCCCACAGTGGCCTGGATCTCACTCAGGCTTCTAAACACCACTGTAATACAAATAATAAAGGCCATTCCATTGTTTTGGGGAAATAGGGTTGCAAATAGCAGTATATGAAGACACTAGCTATCTCTGTATTCACGTGTGCTCTGGGACCACTCTCACATTTTCAAGGCAAGTGTACTCAAGTTCCACTAGTCTCTGGACTTCCAATATATTTTATGGTCACATCACAAAAAAAGATCAGGAAGCCTTTGATTACACACTTAGTATTGATGATTCAATGCGTTCCAGCTGCAACACTGTTCTATGTGTACATATTAAAAGGTACATCAGAAAATATTAGCATCAAGCAGATGGGCTGAAATGAGTGATTATAAAAGCAGACATGTCCATGCAAAGCAGAATGAAAGGTATGTGCAAATAAATGTTTCTGGCATCTTTAAAAAATATTTTTGGAGATGTAAGCCACTACCTCAGATTCCTTCCACTGTACCATATTTACTCACATTTCTAGACTGTGACTGTCAAACTGCAGTATTATTGTTTGCAAGAGATCCATAAAATGCAACGAGGAAAGAGCTAGAAGAGAGTTCTTCCATCTACCCATCTCTACTGAGAGCCAGAGAACAATTAGCTCTATGTTTAGGCTATCAGGCTGAAAAATTGACACACACACCCCCAACAAAATCCTGGCTACTATGCACAAAACCCAACAGGCCTTCAAAGTCATTCTACAAATTTAGTAGTTTTGTGAGGTATGAGAACAAAATCCACGTTGACCAATCTGCTATTCTATAGGACTGATTTTGATGCTTATGCTGTTACTGTCCATAATTCACAATGATGCTTTTGAGATAGAAAGCTAGGCAATGTGACATTTCAGACTTCTGTCTGCTCATACTGCCTAGCTGTGTACCAGCAGAGGTGCTGCTGAGTTATTTATGATGTTGCACAACAGATACACATGGTGCTTTACAAGAAAAATTAAAATTGCGGCATCTACCCCTACAAGCTAACGAAGCTAAGATATGGCAAGATCAATAAGAGCTAATGAACGAGGAGGGCTCTTTCTCCATGCCCTTCTTACCACCAGGTGGAGTTATGGGGGAGAAAGAAGAAAGAACTTGCACTCAAGTTGGGGCTGATCTCCACTAGGAAGGTGCATCAAAGTCTATTCCACTTTCTGTTCTTATCTGAAAAGCTTTCAAATCTTGTCTGATAGCTGGCTGAACTCTCCAGGATGTTGAGACCCTATTCGGGTCTTTCATCTTAGGGTACATCTACACAGTAACATTATTTCAAAATAACTAGGGGTATTTCAAAATACTGTCAAGCTGGAGGAATTGTTAGTCCGACTCCTGTAACCCTCACTGTACGAGGAGTAAGGGAAGTCGGAGGAAGAGCGCCCTATTTCGAAATAGGTGCTGTGCAGATGCTCCCAATTTCTAAATAACTGCTGCGTCAATTGCGTAGTTTAAGCCCTGCTGTGTAGAGGCACCCTCAGATTTAAAGATTTATACCGAAAATCCCAAGCAGGTTAAGATCCCAATTCTGAGCAGCTTTACTCCCAAAAATGATTTGTTACTTCAGCACAGAACCATACAGCTGAACTTGGACCTGCTGTTTATGTAGTGTTAATGACAGCACCCAGGGAAAAGCAATTCCATCCATTCCTCTTGGTCCACTCAAGGTATGTGGGTCTTTGCTCATCTTGTAATAGGCATATTTTGCATTCCAAGGTTCCTTCCTCAGGAGGACTGATAGGCCAGGACACCTAATAGTTCTATGTTTGCATTTGTTTAGCATCTTCCATCTGAGGATCTCAGTGTTTTCACAAATACTGATTTGGCCTCAACCACTTTCCTGTGAGTAGCCGATACTCTTACCTTCATTTTACAGATGAGAAAACAGGAGGCGTACCTTGGATTAGAATTTGGTCACTATGCTTACTCCCACCTCACACCAAGGAGTTAGCACAACATCTCTGAATGCGTGAGCTCAATTCCATTCTGAACAATCACCACGATTAGAACAGACAGCTTTGTGACAAACTGATTATGTATCAGCAGCAAAAAAAAGCTCCAGCAGGGGATGATATTATCAAAGTATTGTCGTAGCGTTCAGAGTAACCAAACTGAGTATCGTGGAAGCCGAGATGGAAGATGCCATTTCTTTGCACATACCCTAACTGAAAGCCAACAGGAAAGAGAAGGTGGTAGTTCAGTGTACCCCAGTATACAGACATGCCCCAGCTGACAGATACATGCTGCCCCTCTGCTGCTCAGCAGGAGTATTTTAACTGTGATTTGGTTACATGCTCATTAAGGATCACTAGAACCAACCCAAGCATTGCACACTGCACAAGGAGAAAAAGGAAGAAATGCATACTCTTGAAGACACCACTGGGAATTTTAGACTCACTGCTATTAGGCTTTAATTTTGAAGCCATTGTGCTATGGTAAGCAGTTACACAGCGTGCATTTCTGGTCATATAGGGTGTTCAGGGTGAGGGGGTACACAGCACTCCACACCTTGTCAGTCTCCTCTAACTGAAAATAAGAAGCTGCACAATCTATGGAATCAGTCATAGTGGAGGAGATCTGCGAGATATGCCATAGCTAAAAATGGACTGCAGGTAGCCAGCTGGTGAGATCATGGGTACTCACTCCGGCCAGCGATTTCTGGATATTCTCCCTGGCTCTGGCAATGTCGCGTAGGATCGTGCTGGCTCCGTTCTCCTGCAAACAGCGCAGAAAGAACCAAGATGTTTTGTAAAATGAAACATGAGAAATTACTGTGGGCTGCTAAGAGGGGGAAGATGGGATATTTGAAATGGTTAAGTGAGCACTGGCGGCAGCTTTCCAAGAAGCATCAGCTGAAAACCAAGAGGCATAGAGTGCAATGGCTGCAAATTAGTATTGGTCACATCATGCTGTGCCTCCAGAACAGCATTTAGTTGCAGAGTTTTGAGACCTCAGCGTTTTGCTTCTCCCCATTGCATTACCCAGAAAGGCTGGCCTAGCCACCACTCCGGCAGGTTATCAGGTTTTCATAAATGCACCCTTATAGCTCTGGTTAGGCAGCTAATTTCCTTAAAAGATTATGTGTAAATTTCATGCTGGAGAAAAGAGGCCAAGTCCTGCAGACTGAAATCTTCTATTGAAAGAGTAAGTGTGGTCCAGACTCTAGTAGCCCTGGATTTTCCAAACTGGAGAGGTCACCTTCTAAGGCAGGGGTGGAGAACCTCCGGCCTTGATCCGCCCCCGAGGCTCACAGCCCCCCTCTGCACTGGGAAATCTACTGGCACTCCAGCTCCTCCACCATGGTGCAGGAGCACAAAAAAAAAATCTACTAGGCTGGGCTGCCCTAGGCTCTGGCATGCAAAGGGAATGTGGGGAAGGTCTTTCTCCTTTTCAGCTGGGCTCCACATAAAGAGTGTTTTTTGTGTGCGGCCCGAACTGATTTTTCTGTGGGTCAGTGGCCCCCGAGCCAAAAAAGGTTCCCCATCCCTGGCCTAAGGTAAGAGTTCAGTTACCAGAGTCCAAGTACTCCTTGGCTCTAGGAGGTTACCAACAAGGGCGCCGATTATTAGAGACCTGCAAATCTGCAGTTCATTTTAGCAGTTTTGGATGCAGATACAAATTTTGTATCCAGAACCCTGCAAATTTGTGCATATCTGCTTCATCTCACATGTATCTGCATCCACTGGTGTCCACACGGATAGCTGTGGCTCATTTTTGCAGATATGGACGCACATTTTGTAACCACGCAGGCTCTACTAATTATAGCTGAGCTTTCTGTGACCTGGACTCTTGTCTGCTGGAAACTGAACTGAGCATCAAAAACCTTTTCACACCGGGCACCAAACAGCCCCACACAATCCCCCACTAGCATGGTACTTCCAAATCAGATGCAAACTAGAAAAAATTAATGAAGACCATTAAACCTTACTAGGAAGGGAGTGTTGCAATAAACAGTTCTAATAGCATCAGTCAGGTGGCTTTCAGGCTACTTTTGGCAGGAAAAATTTCCTCTCTCTGAAAGTTCCTCATGTCACGTGATAGTCTAACTATCCTCCTTTCTACTACACAGAGCACAGTCATGCTTTATAATCTGCGTTCATGTTTTACTTACAAGCTCCAATTTTTGTAGGCCACCTACGGGAACGTCTGCCCTTCAAATACATGTTGTAGAAAGCTGTAAGCGACTGCAATGGCAGCAGTAATTCTGCAGAACATGTCTAGATGCTACTAAAGCACTGACCTTTGTTTAAAAGCTCGGCCCTGCCACTTGCAAAAAAGCCATTTATGATTTCAAGGAGCTTTCTATGCAATTAAGTGAACATGCAGTTAACCATCCGTAACATTTTAGAAAGGGAACACCACTGCTGCCCACAATCTTACTCTAGTGGTGGGGGTACAGATACCTCGGGAATGTAAGTGAGAGACACCTGACTACTTTATAGCAGAACTGGAGTTTGCTTGCCAAGCTCGCCCTGCTCTTTCCCCAGCATAGTCACCACCCTTTGCTTGCACACAGCATTCCCTGCGGCCTACTGTTAACATCACCGGGGAAGCCAGAAAAGGCATGTGGATCACAATCTCTCTGGAGAGTTAGCACCTGTGCCTGGCTAAAAAGCCATTTGGACACCTCTGAACATGGATCCCTGGCAAAACAGGAAACCACTAGACATCGTAAGAGTTGCTTATGTTAGTCAGTCCATAATCTGACTTCCCATCCTCCCAGATTGCCCCAACTTTTGTTCTCAGCTCTTGCAAATGGGATATGAAATTGCCCACTGATAAGTTACAGTCCCTGATTGTGGTCCCACTGCAGGTGGGGCACAAGTAGCCTGAAGGATTAAGACCAATTGTTGTAAATGATAACCCAGCTTTCCAAAATGTCTATTTCACCCCTATTCAAACAGTTCTGTACACAACGTGAGAAACACCCTATATTTTGAACACTGTACTTCTCCAACTGTAGCCTATGGAACGCAGTAGGGGGGCGAAAACCAAACAAGTGGGAATTTGGTGATAGGATCTGGACGTGCAAGACAGCATTTTTTACAAATCGGTCTCCAGACTAGGAGAATTACTACCAGACTTTAACAAATATATACAGGCGGAGAAGGATCATTCCTTCATCTGCTATTGGTACTAGGAGCAACTTAGACTCTAGCACGCTGCAAAAACTACCTCCTCACTACTTGAGAACATGCATTACCTGTTGGCAGGAAGGACTGGCAAATGGTCCGTTCATCTGTTCATAGTATCGTCTCTCAGCATCGTCATACTTGAATTTATCAAACCAGATCTTCTCATGCACAAGGAAATCAGCTGCCATTTTTCTGCAAACAGGAAGAGACAATATGAGCACCTCAGAATGTTTAAGGGTGGTTGACTGTATTTTGTTCAACAGTCAGAAACCGCACTTCCCCCCATCCCTCCAATAGGGCTGCATTGTAGCTTTCTGCCCTGTGTCTGCCTTCCTCTCTAGTGAAAAGCTCTAAGTAAATAGGATCCTATTAAGAAAGCAGGGCATTCTAATCATCCACCCCTGGCTGCCTAATCTCCCTGTATTTAGCAACACAGCACCAAGTAGGGTGGGGGGAGGGTACAGGTCTGACACTGCACCTTTCCCTTGAGGCAAGGCTAGCTGCACCAAGATATATAGACAAAAAATGACACTTAAAAATCACACAAGTCAATTAAAAACAGAGAATCACAGCTCTTTGGGCTCATATTCAGAGGGTTTTTTTTTTAAAAAATGATCAGCCAGCCTTAGAAACTCATCTAAGTTCCTTAGAAGAGCTTGTAACACAACATAGTGGACACAGTGTTTTAGACATTACAACTATGTTAGGAAGCAGTATTCAACCAGTGATGAATAGTAATAGAGAGGTAGCCGTGTTAGTTTGATCTTGTTAAAACAAAAGGAAAAACTATGTATCACTTTAAAGACTAACACGTGATGGGGAGGGAGTCATGCACACAGTTCTACCGCACACTATCTCCAATAGATTTCCCCAGTAACACTTAAATGAGAACTGTGCCACTCCAATAATTGCGCAGTACGGACCCCCAGACGGGAAGTGCATCACTGAGGCTGTGTCTAGACTACATGGCTCCATCGATGGAGCCATGTAGATTAGGGTTATAGGCAAAGGCAAATGAAGCCGCAATTTAAATGATCGCGGCTTCATTTAAATTTACATGGCTGCCTCGCTGAGCCGACAAACGGCTGATCAGCCGTTTGTCAGCTCAGCGCGGCAGCCATGTAAGTTTAAATGAAGCTGTGATCATTTAAATCGCGGCTTCATTTGCTTTTGCACAAAAAACAAATCTACATGGCTCCGTCGACGGAACCATGTAGTTTAGACGTACCCTGAGAGTGCTATAGAACTAGTTTACCCAGTTCTCCTAGCTAACCCCACAATAGTACATAGCCTTGAAAAAGTGTCTCCTTTCAAGTCAGGAAGGAGAAAGGATTTCAGAAGATTACATATGGAGGGCTTGAAGACAGACCTGCAGGGGATGTATTTTCAGATGATCCTGTAGTCATTTAGAAATTAAACTATTACACTGTTGGGGAGAGCTTTCCAATTCTGCATTCTGTTAGTCAGAAATCATGAAATTCTGCCCCACATGGGGCATACTGGGGATGTTCTAAAATGCACAGCGGTTCTAAACGGCTGTGAAAGTAGGTCAACCGACTAATTCATATGTGGTGACAAATTTAGAGGTAAAAGGATTAAGCAGACAAGGGCATGAAGATGAACAACTTCCAAAAGCTATTTAACTTCATGGTGTCCTGAGGGATGGGGCTATTGCAAGAATCTAATGTGGTGCCTTGCACAATACAGGAGCAAGGGATGAGAGGTAAGTTCAAGGGGGCAAGAAGAGTCTAGAAAGTAGCATCTCAATGAAGAAACAGCAATTACAAGACCCTGTTGTGAGAAGTGTAAGCAGGGACATAGCAGCTAAGGAGCTCAGCTAAAATAAAGGGCATTCAAGAACTTTTATGAGAAGTTTCTGTCACTCAAATGCCGCAAGGGATCACAATTTCATGAATCAGCCTAGACTTTTACAAGCCCTACAAATCCTCATTTCAACATTGGTTGACTAAGTAGTGCTTTGTACTATGAAGCTGTAAAACATCTCTGAACCAAGACTATTCAGAATACTGGAGAGGGGTCAAGACAGACTGATATATCCAAATTCTGTCACCCTTTCCCAAAATTCACACCATTCCTGAAAGACTGGCAGAAATGCCATTCACAAACACAAAGCTCCTTGGGGCCAGTTTACCACAATCCTATGTCACAGGCCAGATCAATCACACACTGAACATTTTGTATGGTCACAATTTTCCTTTCATGGGGAGAGTGTTTGGTTCATTCTCCTTAGTCCAGCTGGATGCACAGAATACTATTCAAAACTCAAGGGATCACAAGCATTTCCTCAAAAGGGAGGAGAAAGGAATACCTATAAATCTGCATGATAAATCTATGCAGTTTGAGATTAATCTAACTCTCAGAGCCAGGCTACAAGGCAACACTTATATACTTGCCTTTGGATGAGCCAAATGAAGAGCTATAGTTCAGACAGTAATGTGGCCTCTGAGGGTAGGTCTACGTTACAGGGGAGACCAATCTACTTCAGCTATGTAAACAGCATAGCTGAAGTTGACATACAGGCAGTCCCCGAGTTACGTGGATCCGACTTACGTCGGATCTGCAGTTATGAACGGGGCTTTTCTCGCCCCGGAGGACGGGAGCAGCGGGACGCCCAGATGCGTCGTGGTCCGCCGCCCCCGTCCTCCGGGGCAAAGAAAGCTGCTCCCCGTCTCCCTGGTCTGCAGGGAGACGGGGAGCAAAGCCTTGGAGCACGCCCGCAGCGAGACAGCCTGGGCGCGCTTGAGCTGTCTCCCTGCGGGCGTGCTCCGCGGCTTTGCCCCCCTTCTCCCAGGTCAGCAGACCAGGGAGACGGAGCAAAGCCGTGGAGGACTTGGGCAGTCCCGCCACCCCCGTCTCCCTGGTCTGCTGGGGGGGGAGCAGCTAGTGCCCCCCCCCCCGCCGACCA